GATGACATGCATAAATCGAGAAATGCYCCCCCCCCCCCCAAAAAAAAAAAAAAAAAAAGGAACTAATGGCAACTTGTCATATGATCTCATATCTGCATCACCATTTCAGTATACTACCAAGCACTGTATTACCAACCGGGCTGCCAGGTGGCTCGGCCGGGCAAGGGCCAGGTCCCTGTAAAAATAAATAAATAAAAAATTTAATAAATAAACAATTTAATAAATAAATATTTTAATAAATAAATAAATTTAATTGAAAAAAAGTTAAAAAAACCGAAAAAAAAAACGAAAAACAATATGTTGTGCAGAAAAATAAACTGAACAACTTTCGGCTCAGGGTCACATCGAAATTCTTTTGGTTCCTTGTATGTACAGTAATCTCATATGAAGCATCCAACTTTCGATATTGATCTTCTAGGGCTTTAGTCCGTATTGTTAGCAGCTGTATTTGGGCTGGTCTTTGGTAGCACTGTTGGTCGAACGCTTGTCTAAGCTTACAACTGCAACTTCCTCTCTGTCTCTTAGTACAGCTCAGTAGGATAGGGTTACTGGCTGGGTCCTGTTTTGTTTTTGTTCCTGTATTGCTCCTGTTCTTTGTACTGCCCTGAAGGGCTGAGGTTTGGTTCTGTTCCTGCAGCCTTGGCCCGCACCCGGCCAGAGTAGCCGGGAGCGAGCCTGGGGCTGTGAAAATTTGTAAGGGATGTCGGGCCCGGTTCCTGGCAATTGGGTAACCTTTACTTGATTAAATAAAAAAAAAAAAAAAGTTTGCCTTCCCCCCAAAAAAAAGCAAAAAAAAGAAAATCAAACATATTTATATTTATATTTATTTTTAATTCATTTTTGGCATGGCAAGTGGTTCCAGGCCACTCTGGTAACATAGTAGTCTAAGCAGTGAGCACCAATAAGTTTCAAAAAAAAAAAAGAAAGCTCAGCGGCAATTGTGGTACTAATACCGTACTATGTATGCACTACTATGCAGTATGTACTATGTCTGTACCATGTATGTGCTGTGTATGTACTATGTAGTATGTAGTATGTACACATGCTTGCAATGGGTAACAAGTACTGACAACTTCGTAACTTATCAAGTCAGCAACACAAACAAGCTATGGCAGTGCTATGCTAAGTCCTCGTGCCATGATGCCTCCACTACCGTCTTCATCCGAATAGAACTCCCGGTCATTATAGCCATATTTGGTGCAAGTTTCAGTCTAGGTACAGCAATAATGACCGGGTGTTGTATTCCTGTGAAGAGGGTAGCCATAATTGGATTTGAAGTCTGACCTCACCCGAAACCCTCCCTCCTCCCTCCTCCATGGGACAACCCTTGATTTTTTTTTTTTTTTTTTTTTTTTTTAAGATTGTACACATTCAGGGTAGGGCAGTTGGCACTTCAGCTCAAGAGCGCAGGTACCAACCCACCTCACCTTCAGGGTTAACGGACGAGAGTATCCTGCACCGGGAGACCTTTACGATACCCAGTCGCACAGGCGTCACCCTCGGTCCCCCTGAGGTGCTGCGAGCAGCCCTTACGTTCTCATCAAGAACTGCATACCCCCAACGGGTACAATTTATTGGGCCATCCCCCCAAGGGGTGCCTGACCCTAGTGGGTGAGTGCGCGGTAGCCCAGCTTCTGGGCGGCAGACAGCAGACACAGATCTAATCCCAGCCAACTGCAGATGCTCCAGAGCAGTGCCGGCTGCAACCTTATCCTGGCACAAGACAGTGGGCTCAGGAGCCCCCCAGTCGACCGAGCACCATCGATCTAGGCTCGGACAGGGAACCGGCAGTCTGCCCCTAAGCATCCACTCGGGCATGGCAGGGATCGAACCTGCAACCTACATCTCTGAAGAGCGGGTATGCTCGAGGTCTAGCGCCTGGTCTGCAGCATATGCAGCAGGTGCCCCACCGGGCATTGCAATGCTTGAACCCGCGACCTGTGGAAGTGAACACACAAGCACCCAGTCCATCTGGGCTGCAAATGGCCCTACGCTCTGCGCAGGAAATCCACAATATGAATATATATAACATCACACCGGAGTGCAGGCCCGAAGATTCAAACCCACACCCTAACAAACATTGGTGAATAATTCAGAATACCAATATCCAGTATGGTGCACCAGAGTGCAGGCTCGAAGATTCGAACCCACACCATAAACCACACGTTGCATAACCGACACGCGCTCGACCAACTGTTTCAAGAGGGTTGGAATGTTGAACTTTTGACTTATCAAGCAACAACAATGGGTGGACATTGTTAAGGATTGCAGCCAACAGGTACTAGCATATAGTGTTCTTCTGTTTTTCATCAATCCATTAGCCGTCCGTCCGTCCATCTATCCATCCATCTATATATCCATGCAGCTTAAGGTTTAGCGTTTAGGGTTTAAGGGTATGGGCAATGTTCCCATCGTGAACTTTCTTTTTCACGTAATGTTTAAAACACTCAGGCTATAATCCTGTGGATAGGATATCTTCACACTAGGACTTTCCTAGACATGTCAAATGATACCATTCACCTTTTTTTTCCAAGTAAAATCACCCTTTTTTCCAAGTAAAATCTTAGCCTGTCTTTGGAACATTCTGACTTTTTTTCGACTTGGTAGCTTCAGATCTCTGGTCTCTGTGGTGCCCAATCATCATGCCACAATTGCTGTCAGATGAGGCTGTGAAAATGCCTAGCGTAGGCTCCCTAACCAAAATACAGGACCAGATGCAAGGGATAGATAGTGAGCCATGGAACTCAAACTTTACCTTGCTGGTTCGCAAAGATGTGACAAACTCTTCCACAAGTAGTCCCGATCCCAATCGCCGCATCTGGAAGGGAAGAGAACAAGGTTTTGAAAAAGGCAGGTGGAGGTGTTGGGCGTGAAGAAGGGATTCACATGAAAATAAAAAAGAAAACGACATAAGTGTTTACTATCTAAAGTCAATTCAATTCAGACAGTCTAAGGGCATAATACTCACACACGTCATGATACTACAGCAATGATTATAGTAATCGCAGGATCTACGTCCTGACTCCTAAGCCATGGAATATATACAATGCTAGAGCAAGTCATGCTATATCGCAATCAACAGGTCAAGGTGCACCGCGTCCCTGCTGCAACAGGAGAAAGATGAGATCCACATGTGTCTGTGTTTGTTTGTCTTTGCGATTTTTTTCATGTTTGCAACATGGAAGCACCCCATGGCCATGATGGAGCTTTTGCAGAATGATGACTAAAGAGTGAAGGAAAAGACAACCCCGACAACTCTAGATGGTTTCTCCCGAACATCACCCGACAGCCTGGACCAGGGGACGTAGTGGAGGACCGGTGCCGCCCGGTGCCCCTATGGGCCCCCAAGGCCGGGTGTGACTCAGAGCCGGCCCCCAAGAGTGGCCTGATGGGACGCTTGACCCGGTTTCCAGCAACTCGGATAGGGCAAGGTATGGGGATAGGTTTCCTCAGATCATGACAAGATCATGACAAGGGACACTGGACCCGGTTCCAGTATTTGGTGCGCTCTTATTTCAATTGTCTTCCCGAAACAATGTTCACAAGGGACGCTGAGCCCCGTGTGAGGATTGAGCCCTCAAATGGGGCCTTGCCGTGGTGTACATGTTCTAGGCCAAGGCCCCCAGCAAGCACCGTGCCCGCCCTAAGTGAAGGTGGGCCAGCAAATCAACGAGAGCCCTCTGTTCAAACATTTCACGAAGTGGGGTCCATACAGTTGCCGCTCGCCAGTTGGTTGGAGTGCACCGAGTACCGGATCTCTGCAAATGCAGAAGGACCAGGGCCCTTCAGAGTTGGTTAGGCCCTGGGCACATAAACGAGAGGCCGAAAATGCCAATGGGAAACCGGTCCACTATCTGAATCTGGACGCAGGCCTGGATGAAAGAGGCACAACTGTACTGCATGGGCCCCAACCCCATTGGGCCTGGGTACAGGTACTGGGGCCCAGGCGCAGGCTCAAGGGAGGCCGCCCACACGCAACACTGGCATATAGGCAGAGAGGGCGAGTGGGCAGGGATCTTGGCCATTGCAAGCAAGGCCGGCACGCTGCTGCATTGCGAGTGTGCCTGCGCTGCGCTAGGCTGAGGGAGGGCAGGCTGGCGCTAAGCGGTAGAGCGCAGCCTGGGCGCAGGGCGCTGGCAGCCATAGCCGGGCTGCCTGTGGGCGCAGAGGAGGTGAAGGGCGAAGGTGGTTCTTCGGAGGTGAAGGGCGCTGTGTGGGATAACAAGGGAGAGTGAGGGAGAAGAGAGAGACGTACCTGGAGGAGAGGAGGTCGGCATTGGTGTTGACATCATCACTCGCTGGTCGTCAAGTTGTCTGGTTGCTTCGATGCTGTAGTTGTAGTGATAGGCTGTAGAGTAGGTAGGGCGCCTGGCGCCATTCAAGAGAGAGAGCTACATTGGGTTATGCTGTTGGTGTTGCCCGATTGGACTTGGACATTGACTCACGATTCTTCTGTATCGTTCTCAAATGGATGGTTACTCGGTTCGGGTGTGCCAGCCCATAAGAGACGCTTACCAGACCGTCTATAAATACTTCTGGCTGGGGACTCGGTGTTGATACTGGCTGTGATCGTCATCCTGTTTGCGACGTTAAATAATTCCTGAGGAGATGGGAGCTCTCCTTAAATCCCTCCTGATCAGCCAGATCAAAACGGGTAGTAAGGCTCATTCCGTACGAGGGTAAATAAGAGTGGATGGGCTGGCTTGCTCAGCAATGACTTGGGCCACAGGGGTGGACTGACATTACACACGAAGACACTGCTGCTCAAAGATGCTCTTCGGTATGTTGGATTGAGGGGAGGGTAGGTTCTAATTGGTGCTCAACTGTAAACACAACCATTTCCACCATGCATACATCTGCAACATRATTTAATTTKATTCTTTGATTAGTTGGTGGACAGACTGCTAACACCTCACARACARCTTAGAGTAGGACCAKTSTATACTACCATAKCTGGTTCTATCTCAAGCTGCTATAAGTGAACTAATCAATGGTAGGATTAGATTATGTGTACAGTCAGTGATAATGTTGTTGACGACCGCTTGAAATAGTAGCATTTGGTTTCCTGCCGGACACAAACTATTTTTAGAAAATGAAGTGTCAGTCAAACATATGCTGTGGTAGGACTTCTCTAGAAAGTTCTAGTGCAGACAGTGTATGCATAGCTCATGAGTGAATCAGACAGCGCTGAGGGTAGAGTTGACGATGGTAGAGTAACACGATCAAGATCACGTAGGATCCCGTACGTGTTTCAGTACCTGGACACCGAGACAGAGCGACGGCTTAGGGCCGAAGCTATAGCCCGTGCTCGAGCAGCGAGCGTGAGGACAGCAGCAGCTGTTGCACAAGAGTTAGCAGCAGCTAACGCAGCAGCAAGGCAAGTGGCGGCAGCAGCAATGGCTACCGCGGCAGCAACCAATGGTGCCACTTCGTCTGCCACTCGGTTGGGAATGCCCACTGGGTCCGCGGGTAGTTCCAGTGTCGCAGGTTCTAGTCACTCCACCAGTCATATGGCGGGCTCGCAGTTAAGCCCACTGACCCCGCGCCAGCGGGAGTTGAGGGAACTCCAGCAAGTTGAAAGGACTCGCACTAGGCTAGAGAGGGAACTGAAGGAAGTTGCTGATAGACAAAAGGAGGTTAGAGATAGGACAGTCAGATTGGAAACGGTGGAGGCCGACAAAACTGCACTAGAGGCAATGGATGAGTCAACTATGAACGACCATGTAAGAGTGTTGAGGTCTAGCTTGCTGTCGTTGCATACGCATGTAGACAGTAGGATGGACTTCATGCAGGACACTTTGGATCAGATATTGGCTCAGTTGCAGCAGCTTGGACCAAGGCTGCCTGCAGTTGCAAGATCGCCGCTCCCTATGTCGGCGATGATAGGCACTTACCCCCATGCTGACACACAACCAAGCGGTTCGTCAGCAGCAGCGTCTCAGACTGTTGCTTCTACTTCTTCCGGTCTTGCGGTGGCAGCTACTCCACCACCGCAACAGCAACCTGTTCCACCACAGGGACAGCAGCAAGGCCCATGGTACCCAAAGACCCCAATGAAACCACCTGTCGCCTTCTCTGGTGAGAAGAAGGACGAGGAGCTCAACACATGGTTGAGAACGGTTCCAATGTGGGTAAGGGCAAAGAGGACTTTGCAGGAGGAGGAGGTGATCACTGTTGCATCTTACCTTGAGGGTAAGGCAGCCAAATGGCTAGACGGGATTATAGCGAAAGCTGGGTTTGGGAGACACATGGCAGATTGGGCTAAGACCATGACGTTAGATGAGTTCATAGACATGGTAAAAGCTCGCTGGCATAATCCGCAGCAGGCACAGATTGCCACTGACGCCATAATAAGACTAGACCAGCGACGGTACAAGTCCGTTAGGGAGCTTACGACTACCGTGGAGAATCTCATCGTAGTCCCAGGCATTCACTATGATGACCAGGTCCTATTGACCATGTTCGTGAGATGTCTCCCAGAGAATCTCAGAACACAGTTGGCCAGAGAGGCACGCCTCGAGTATCACACCTTCGAGTCCTTCTCTAGAAAGGCCCTAGACTTAGAGGCTACTCTAGGAAGTGCTCAACCTACTACTCCAGTAGACGGAAGGAAGAAGAAGAGTCCACAGGAGTGGAAGAAGAAGGGGAGTCGACTTATGATGGTTGAGACCGACGGGACTCAAACCGAGGTTGAGGACCTTTCTGCCCTGATGGACACCACAAAGTATGACGGCGAGGAATCTGCTGAGGGTAGCACCCTTGCCGCGGTAGTAAAAGGTAATGCAGGTGGCCGAGGGACGGGTCACCAAAAGAGTCAAGGGCAGACCGCCTCCAATCAGTCCAAAGTTGCTGATTGGGTCAAGGCTGGTTTAGATCAAGATGTGACGGGACCGAAGAGTGCGTGGTGCTTGCATCAACTGTGGTGAGTATGGTCACACCCAGTACAAGTGCAAGAACGCCAAGGTCACGCAGAAGATACCCCCTAAGGTACGGGTACCTTCTTCCCAGGCTTCTAGCTCGGGAAACATGTGAGGCCGGTGGAAGTTTTAGCTGCTTCTACTCATGGTGAAGTGGGCCAGATAGCCTCCCCACTTCATGAGAAGGCCATAGCTAATGACTCTTTAGTCACCCTGCAGACTCATCCAGACCAAACTATGCTTTGTACGTTGGATGTGTCTGATGCCTTAGAAGATTTAGAAAGTGAGTGGTCAAGCAAGGACCCTCGGGAATCTTGTGTGGCACTAAGAAAAGGTCCTAGAGGGGAACATTTCGTCGTGGAAGTTGTTGTAGGAGACCGCAAATGTGGTGCGTTCATAGACATCGGCTCCACACGGAATTACATAAGTCGCGACTGTTTGGAAAGGCTGCACCTACAGGACCGGGTACAACACCTTAGTAGACCGGTAGCATCTACTTTGGCCAATAAGGAGCGCATGGTTGTCACAGACTATATCAAGGATGTAGTCTGTACCTTCTCCTATGGAGGAGGGGAACTTGATCATAAGATTTCGTTCCTGATTAGCGACGACTTACCATTCGATATGTTGTTAGGAATGTACTACCTTGAGGTTGCCAAGCCCCAGTTTGACTGGGACAAGAAAGTGCTAAAGCATAAGTTGCCTAATGGGAGAACAGTGAGACTGACTAAGTTCAAAGCCAGTAGCATAATCGATACCTATGGCTGCTTGTGTGCATCAACATTCTATAATTACTATAAAAAGAACCAAGAGGAGGGTATGTACCTAGTGTATGTCTCTGAGAAAGGGGCGGCCGTTAAAACACCCCCAGAGATAGAACACGTCGTTGCTAAGTTCCCTGATCTGTTCACGGAGCCCACAAGAGTCGTCGATAGGGAGGTTGTCCACGCCATAGAAATCATTCCAGGGAGTAAAACCCCAAAGGGAAGGATCTATAGGATGGCTCCGACCGAGTTGGATGAACTTCGGCGACAACTGAAAGAGCTGACAGAAAAGGGATGGATCCGACCGAGTACTTCCCCTACGGATCTCCAGTGCTATTTGTACCGAACAAGGGGGGTACATTGAGGATGTGCATTGATTACAGAGGCCTCAATGCCATCACAGTGAAGAACGCAAAGCCTCTACCCCGCATAGACGACCTATTGGATAGGGTGCAGGGATGTAAGTACTATAGCAAGATAGACTTAAAGTCCGGCTACCATCAGATCGCAATAAGACCTGAGGATCAACACAAGACTTCTTTTCAGACCAAATACGGTCTGTATGAGTTTGTAGTGATGCCCTTTGGCCTTTGCAATGCGCCGGGTACATTCCAGCATGCTATGAATAGGATCTTCCATGACCACTTAGATAAGTTTGTCGCTGTCTATCTTGACGATATTCTTATCTTTAGTAAGTCTGTCGAGGAGCATGCACAGCACGTTGAGACGATACTTTCACTCCTGCGACAGCACAAGTATAAGGTCAACCTAGAGAAATGTGAGTTTGGACGCACACTCATACTTGGGTCACGAAGTATCCGTGGAAGGTATTAGGCCGGAAGATGCGAAGGTGGCTAGTATCAGGGACTGGCCACGACCTCAAACTGTTACTGAGGTCAGATCTTTCTTAGGAATGTGCAGCTACTATAGAAACTTCGTAAAGAACTATTCCACAGTCGCCTCTCCTTTGACTGATCTAACTCGACTTGACACGCCGTGGGACTAGAGTGATGAGTGCGAGGCTGCTTTCAAACGATTGAAGCATGCACTCATGAATCATGAGGTTCTCATGGTGCCCGATCCTCAGAAGCCATTCATAGTGACCACTGACACAAGCCAATACGGCATTGGCGCAGTGCTGGCTCAGCAGGATGGGAGAAAGTTGAGACCGATTGAGTATATGAGCAAAAAGATGCCATCAAAGAAACTGGCAAAGTCCACCTATGAAAGGGAACTCTATGCTCTCTACAAAGCACTTGTCCATTGGAGGCACTTCCTGTTGGGACGGTTTTTCTACTTGAGAACTGACCATCAGACCCTCAAATGGATCAAGACTCAACCGGCTCTTTCTGATGCACTCAAGCGCTGGATTGAGGTCATAGATCAGTATGACTTTAAGCTAGAGTATCTGAAGGGAGAGTACAACAAGGTTGCACATGCGCTGTCCCGTAGAGCAGACTACCTAGGGGCGCTAGTTTCTGAGTTTGGTGTATCTGAGGAACTAACTCAATCACTGGTGGGAGCCTATCAGGAAGACCCTGTCACGATGGACATCATACGCTAACTTCAGGCAAAAGACAAGGCCACAGAAGATGAGTTTGTGATGGTGGACGGGATTCTCTTTCTTGATAAGGCCGGATTCAAAAGGTTAGTTGTTCCATCTAGTGAACGTTTGCGTAGTTTATTCTTAGGAGAATGTCATGACGCAACCGGACACTTTGGCTACAAAAATACTAGTGTCAATCTAGTACAACGATTATGGTGGCCCGGAATGCTAGAAGATGCAAAGAAGTATGTTGAGACCTGTCAGGTCTGTTCACCGAACAAGCCGCGAACTCGAGCAACGCTTGGGTTGCTGAAGCCCTTACCTATCCCCGCTGGTCCGGGACAGAGTGTTTCCATGGACTTCATGGACACCCTGGTGACCAGTAGGAATGGCAAGAGGCACATCTTTGTCATCATAGACAGATTCACCAAGTACGCTAGACTAATTGCCATGCCAGAGACCGCAAGGACTGAACATGTCATCAAGTTGTTTATGGACAACTGGGTGCGTGATTTTGGACTGCCAAAGTCAATAGTTAGTGACAGAGATGTCCGCTTCACAAGTGAGCAATTGGGCAGTCAACTTCAGATGACTTTTGGGAACCATCCCGAAGCCAACGGACACGCCGAGCAAATGAACAGAGTTGTGCAACACCTGCTGAGGCATTACATCAAGCCCAACCAGGATGACTGGGATGAGAAGTTGCCTCCCATCGCCAGCCTGTACAACAACGATGTACACAGCAGTACCTGCATTAGTCCTAATCAGTTGCACCTGGGATGGAAGCCTAGATCAGCTCTGGACTTCCTCCTACCTGAAAACCGATCCTCTGCAACTCCAGGCACACTTGAGTACGGTGTGCAGTATGAGAAGTTGCTACAGCAAGTTGTCGAACATATCAAGAGATCTCAGCAAGCAATGATTGCTTCTGAGAACAAACATCGTCGGCAGTCCTCATTTCAAGTAGGGAAACGAGTCTGGGTCAAGGCTAGTGAGCTAGGACAGGAATTCGGAATCTCTCGTAAACTAATGCCTCAGTATTTTGGTCCCTGGGAAGTCCTGGATATAGTNGTCTGGGTCAAGGCTAGTGAGCTAGGACAGGAATTCGGAATCTCTCGTAAACTAATGCCTCAGTATTTTGGTCCCTGGGAAGTCCTGGATATAGTTGGGGATGAGATGGATGGACCTACCTATGTTATCCGCATCCCTGGTCACTTGCGCACTCACCCTGTCTTTCATGCCTCAAAGCTTGCACCTTTCGCTGAGACAGATCAATTCCCTTCAAGGAGATCGATGCTGCCCCCAACCATGGATGGCCAAGTGGACATCGACGACATTGTGGATCACAGAGACCTGCCTGTTCCAAAGCCACTGGGTAGAGGAAGACCTCCCAAACCCAAGAGAGAATATCGCGTCAGATTCGGGCATCATACGGATCCAAAAGAAGATCGGTGGTTCACCAGAGAGGAACTGATTGATACAGCTCCTCAAGTGGTGGCAGAATATGAGAGGATGTTAAAAGGGAAGGCACCTGCGAAGTAAGCACCTCAGCGGACTTTCGAAGCTAAGGGGGATGGAATGTGAGGATTGAGCCCTCAAATGGGGCCTTGTCGTGGTGTACATCTTCTAGGCCAAGGCCCCCAGCAAGCATCGTGCCCGCCCTAAGTGAAGGCGAGCCAGCAAATCAACGAGAGCCCTCTGTTCAAACATTTCACGAAGTGGGGTCCATACAGTTGCCGCACGCCAGTTGGTTGGAGTGCACCGAGTACCGGATCTCTGCAAATGCAGAAGGACCAGGGCCCTTCAGAGTTGGTTAGGCTCTGGGCACATAAACGAGAGGCCGAAAATGCCAATGGGAAACCGGTCCACTATCTGAATCTGGAAGCAGGCCTGCATGAAAGAGGCACAACTGTACTGCGTGGGCCCCAACCCCATTAGGCCTGGGTACAGGTACTGGGGCCCAGGCGCAGGCTCAAGGGAGGCCGCCCACACGCAACATTGGCATATAGGCAGAGAGGGCGAGTGGGCAGGGATCTTGGCCATTGTGAGCAAGGCCGGCACGCTGCTGCATTGCGAGTGTGCCTGCGCTGCGCTAGGCTGAGGGAGGGCAGGCTGGCGCTAAGCGGTAGAGCGCAGCCTGGG